AGATGCTTCACTAGAGCGGATCAACCAGTATACCTGACTTGGGAAGTTCTCAGTGCGGAAGAAGACATCACCACCCACGCCTCCAGGGTGGCTCTTCTCAGTGCAGAAGAAGACATCACCACCCGCACCTCCAGGGTGGCTCTTCTCAGTGCGGAAGAAGACATCACCACCCAGGCCTCCAGGGTGGCTCTATTAGACTCTTGGTTCCCTGATTTATGATTTAGTGGTACATTGTTTAAACCCTAGAGAAAATCCATTACCATAGTTACTATAGTTGTGTTTTAGGTTTGAGATTGATTGGGACAGGAATAGAGATTTTCTTACTTGTTTTGTTAAGATCAAAGCTATGATCAGTTCTATACTTATATAGATTAGATTTAGAAAATAGTGTTATAGAATAGAAGAGGCTTATACTTTTTACTCCTCCAACAGAAGAAGTTATGTGCTACCCTTAAAAAGAGTGTTACATTTACACTAACTATTCAGACATTGCTAAGTCTCTTGTCTCTCAGGTTCATGCTGCTCAACAAACTGATGGCTTTTGTACTACAACAGATAGACGTTACACAAATGAAACCCATACAGGTCCATTATTACAGGCTGGAAGTAGGGGACTAAAACCTCTGTCATCAAGACTGACGAGGATTAACCCTTAACTTACGCGCTAAGCCGGATAGTCAATGATGGGTAAGAGAACACCTCAAGACCCTTGCCCCTAACTGGGAGGCCTCACCATCCTAAGACAGGAGCTCAACCAATGACTGTTGAGTATCCAGAGACGGGAAAGGGAGGCTGGGGTCCTTTGTTCCAACCTAAGACAGACACGGTTTCCGTAAGTTTTCCCAGCCTTCCCTTTTGAAAACAAATTTAAAAAGGGGGACCTGTTGGGAGCCAGCTCTTAGCCGAAAGTGGCTATCATCTTTACAGCCATCTTGAGCCATATACCCTGACGGAGAAACACTGCTTATTGGCTTGCTTCCCATAGCATCATCTTCAGTTACCTTTCTTACACAGCCCAGGCCGCTTCCACGTGGATATTACTACCCACAGTGGGCTTGGCCCTCCCTTATCAATCAACAACCAAGAAAATGGCCCACAGAAATGCCTATGGATCAGTCTGATGGAGTTGATTCTTCAGTTGAGATTCCTTCTTTCCAAGTAGGTCTACATCTGTATCAGGCTGACAAATCTAACTCTTGACACTTAAGAACTTAGGAAGAGCAAAAGCTGAGCATTTGTAAGTTATGTAGAGGACTGGACTTCAGTCTGCACTAACTGTAGGAGGTCTTTCTTGGGCTGGAAGTGTAGTTCAGTTATAGATTCTCCTAGCATGCCCAAAGCTCTGGGTTCAATTCTCAGCACTACAATAAAACAAACAAATGAACAGTTAAAGTAAGTAAGTAACTTAATAGCCCAATTCAGGGTAAGAACCATAGCTCCCAAATGAGAATCTGAACCAGAATATCACCTACTTGGCTAAAAATCCCTCAGGTATTAATTACTCCAGGATGTTTTAGCATCAGAGATATGAAGCCCCTCTGTAGGAACATAATATGAATTCTTTTTAAATTTTTTTCAAATAAAATGAAAGGCAACAAAGATAATAGATTGAAGAAGAGTCAGGTATGAGTCAGAACTACCAGAAACAATAGACAAATGAAATAGACTTAATAAACATAATGTAAAAAAGAAACACTGTTCTTGCTAGGCTTACTGAAGAAAATGTCGAAGCTGGGCGGTGGTGGCGCACGCCTTTAATCCCAGCACTTGGGAGGCAGAGGCAGGCAGATTTCTGAGTTCAAGGCCAGCCTGGTCTACAGAGTGAGTTCCAGGACAGCCAGGGCTATACAGAGAAACCCTGTCTCGAAAAAAAAAAAAAAAAGTCAAACTTCCAAATTGTGTCAGAGAACTGGAAAATTAAAATGTGACATTTAAGATGAGGGAAAAAAATATAGGAATCATAAGACTAAGATATATATATATATATATATATATATAAACACAAAAGCTGTGGGTGCATTTTGAGCAGATTAGGCATACCTAAACAAAGAATGTATGACTAAGGTCAGGTTAAAACAATCCAAAGGAAACTTAAAAACAAAACAAAACCATTGAGAGTAGGAAACACAAAGGAACAAGGTAGCAGGCCTGATGTTTACTGAATTGGAGTCTCAGAGATGGGAAAAATGACATGGGAAGGCAGTGAGAGCCTAGAATTTCTAATATTGATGTCTTAGGGTTTTACTCCTGTGAACAGACACCATGGCCAAGGCAACTCTTATACAGACATTTAACTGGAGCTGGCTAACACGTTCAGAGGTCTATTAGCATAAAGGTGGGAGCACAGCAGCATCCAGGCAGGCATGGTGCAGATGGAGCTGAGAGTTCTACATCTTTATCTGAAGGCTATTAGGAGAAAATTGGCTTCCAGGCAGTTAGGATGAAGGTCTTAAAGCCCACACCTACAGTGAGGTCATCCACGAGGGTCTTAAAGGCCACACCTACTCCAACAAGGCCACACCTCCAAATAGTGCCACTCCTAGGCCAAGCATATACAAACCATCACATTCCACTCCCTGGCTCCTATAGGCTTGTTCAAACATATGAGTCTATTGGGGGTGGGGGGAGATCATACCTAAACATAGTATAATAAAAAAGTACTTATAGTCCAACTTCCAAAGTCTCCATAGTCTATTACAGTCTCAACAATGTTAAAAGTCCAAAGTTCAAAGCCTCTTCTGAGATTCACCCAATCACTTAACTGTAGTCCCCAAAGCAAGTCAGGAAACTAGTCAGACAAACTCCAAAGCCTGCATCTTCATGTCTGATATCAAAGTGGTCTTCAGATCTCCAACTCCTTTTTCATCTTTGTTGATTGCAACAAACTTCTTTCTCCCGGGCTGGTCCCACTCCCTGTTAGCAACTTTCCTCAGCAGATAGCCCATGGCTCTGGTATTTTGAACATCTTAGAGCCTCCAAGGCAACTTCAACATTACAACTTCTTGTTTCAATGCCTGGTATCCACACATGATCTTCTGGGCTCCTCCAAAGGCTTGTGTCACTTCTCCTGCTCTGTCCTCTGTACCACTCTAGGTTCTGGTTGACTCCATTCCACTGCTGCTGCTGTTCTTGGTGATCATCCCATGATACTGGCATCTCCAATACGCTGAGGCCTTTAACTGCAACTGAGCTTCACCTCTCATAGGTTGTCTTCATGGTGCCGAGCCTCAAATCCTTTGCATGACCCCTTCAGTTCTGGTTCATCAACAACAACTAAGGTTGCATCTTCCTCAGTGGCCTTCCCTGATCTCTCACAGTGCCAAGCCTCAGCTGTTCTTCATGACCCCCTCATACCTTCAAAACCAGTACCACCTGGGTGACTCTTACACATTAGCAAGTCCATCTGCAGCACAGGATACAACCTTGGCTGTCTCTGGAAAACAGCTTCTTTTGCTCTCAGAAAAGACTTCCCAGAAGATTTCACCTCCGTGATGCTGATCTCTTCTTAACCACTGCTAATTTCTTAGCTCCAGCAGCATCAATTGTCCCAGTGATCCTTTCTATTCTTGATTCTGAAGCCAGCCACATACCCGCAGCTGCTGAGTTCTGCTGCTTGCTAAGGCTGGAACATGGCCTCTCCTCATTCTATTACCAGCTTTCTGTTTTCCAACTTGTCACAGCCTAAGCTTAGCTGTCCTGGAACTTGCTGTGTAGATTGACCTTGAACTCAGAGATATGCATGGCTCTGTCTCCTGAATGCTGGGATTAAAAGCATATACCACCATGACGGATTTAAGCTTTTCTCTACTTGCTCTGTCCCAAGCTAGCCTTCAACTCAGAGATTTGCTTGGCTTTGTCTCTTTGGATTAAAGGAACCATGCTTGGACCTAAGCTTTTCATGGCCTCTGTTCCTCAAGATCCGGATCAAAAGCCTGTCTCAAGATCTGGATCACAAGTGTCCCCTCCATACACAGATAACATGTATATGAATGTGCATACACACACACACACACATATCACTGAATTGACTAAATCTAAAAAAGGCTTTCTTTCAAAAATTTTCCACCTGAAATACATTATTTTTGCTTAATCAGTGGGATTACTAAATAGTCCAATAATTAGCAGAGGTGCAGGGTTGGCATGGCCACGCCCAGCCTTCCGTCCCGCCCACCACAGGCTCAGGCAAGAATACACGCTACGCGAGCACAAACACGTACCCAGACGCGCACGCGCGCGTACACACACACACACACACACACACACACACCTCCACTCGCGACACACACAAGCGCACATATACGCATGTATGTGACTCAAGAAGAGGTTTCTCCGTCCTCGTCCCCTACAGCCAGCGCTGAGAAGTTTTTGAGGAGCAGTCAGCAGGCGTGACACCAGAGTGGTTCCTTTAAATGGTCTTAAACCCTCTTAGATCCGTTTGAAAGAAATCCAAGCTGCAGTAGAGGCGACAAGCAGCCCTATGCCTGTCAATCTACTGGCACACGAGTGTGCCGAAGACCTTTCACGCTCTAGAAGTTAGCTGCGGCGTGGAGATGGAGACGCAGGGCTCGCTGCCTAAAAAGCGCTAGGTAGTCCGAGTTTTTTCCATAAATACCAAACAGCCTGTAAACTTTTTCTCACTTAATCCTTACTACCCCACCACATACACATAATCTATGCTTCTTCCCAGGAATCAGCTGGCGGTCTGAACACGAACTTTGAGAAACAACAGGAGCTAAAACCAGCCCTTGCTCGCAGGAGAGAACAGAGGCGAGAAAACACAGTAAAAGCCTGACCTCACAGTCAGATTTGCCCGGTGCTTGGAACGGAAAAAAAAAGAACCACGGGCTGCTTGCCGCGCGTTGCATGCTGGGATGAGTAGTTTGTCCCGCCGGTCCCGCACGTAATTAGAACAGAGCGCAAGTTAGCTCCGAGACCAAGAACTACCATTCCCGTGGGGCCGCGCGGCAGGGGAGGGGCGGGGCTGGAGGAGGGGCGTCTCCCTCGCGCAGGTTCTGGGGTTGGAAGGAGGCGGAGGAGCCGCGGTCCAACTGCTGAAGTCTCCATGTGACAGTGAGTGGGGTCCCCTTTCTAGGCGCCACTCCACTTCTGATCACAGTCACAGGAACCGGCCGCTATTCCAGCACCGACAGACCGGCTGGCCCTGGACTCTGGGCGTCGGACCGTGCCACCGCCAGACTTGGGGTGCGGAGTGAACGGCCGCCCAGGGGAAGGAGGCGGAGCGGAGCTGCGCGCGGGGCTCCGTGGTGGCGCCCCCGAACTGGCAGACATGAACGGCTTCACTCCGGAGGAGATGAGCCGAGGCGGGGACGCGGCCGCCGCCGTGGCCGCGGTGGTCGCTGCTGCAGCTGCCGCCGCCTCGGCGGGGAATGGGAACGCAGCCGGCGGTGGGGCAGAGGTACCCGGTGCCGGTGCGGTGTCGGCTTCTGGGCCACCTGGAGCAGCCGGTCCCGGCCCCGGGCAACTCTGTTGTTTGCGAGAGGACGGTGAGCGGTGCGGGCGCGCAGCTGGCAACGCCAGCTTCAGCAAGAGGATCCAGAAGAGCATCTCTCAGAAGAAGGTGAAGATCGAGCTGGATAAGAGTGTAAGTGGCTCCAGGACCGCCCTGCCCTGCCCTGCCCTGCCCTATCCTGCCCTAGCCTGCATGCCCCGCCGGATCGTTGGCGGGGTTCACGAGTCTCAGAGACTAGGCTGCAGGTGGGATTAGTGATTCTCTGATTGAAACAAAGTCCCTGCAACTCCGGCCACCTCCCCCCCCAACCCCCAGCGCGCGCTCGCGCAGTGGTGCGGGTCCCCTCCGCCCCTCACCCGGACTCCCGCTGCCTCGCGTGTCTCCCACGCCAGGCTTCCCTCTTCCTCCTTTGCCGCGATCTGGAAACGAAACAAAGGGGACCGCAGCACCGAGGGGCCAGAGTAGTTTTCTCGCGGCCGGGCAGTCCCTTCTGGAATGGAGGCGCCTTTGTTTTGCTGCCAGAGCCGGTGTCTGCCCTAGGGAGCAGCTCCACTCCTCTAGAGAAAGTAGAGTCTGGCTGGACCCCACAATCCTGCCTTTTTTTTTCTTTTTCTATTTTTCTTTCCTCCTCGTTGTTCTCTTTCTCTTGAACACAGACAGGCAAGCCGAGCTCACCAGTTGCCTTGCAGAAAGACGGTTGTAAACGGCGTTTGCAAACGGCGTTTGCGGTGTCAGCTCTTCGGGCAGCTGCTCCGAACCAAGGCTGCAAATAAGCCTCTGCGGTTTTACAACCCTCTCGGCAGCCATCGGGATTTCTTTTTCTGTCTTTATGCACGTCTGCTGTTTTGGCCAGCTATGAGGTTTCAGAGAATTCCATTGCTACTTTTCAGAGCTCTGACTGATGGCAAATGAAGAACAAGATACAGAACCTCCTTACATCCTGTATATTTTTAACTTGTCCTTAGCTTGGAAGTCAATTTAAAAGCCTGTTCATTCGGCCTTTAATTGTAGCCTTAAAAGGGGGTGGGGGAGAATGTCAATCAGCTCAGTATTTACTATCCCACCGTATACAACTCTAAAATGCCCGAGTAATTAAATGTTTTGAAAAGTTTATTTATGATTCTGTTTAGGCAGTTTCTCAGTAGGGTCCGTGAGAAACTTTGCAAGTGAACGTGAATAATTTCAGTTTCCTTTAATTGAAAACACATAATACAGAGAAATACGTTCATTTAATTCTTAAAAAGAAACCTTAGGGCTTGAAATTTAAACATAGGACATGAATTCAATGGCACATTTGTAAAAAAAAAAATGTATACTTTGTATCTGTGTAGACTTTGACTATCTAATTAGAAAATCAGGAGGCATATACCTACCGTTAATATAATTTGCTGCTCTCAAGCTAGAGAAAATACTAACAAGTACAGAATTGTGGGCAATGTCACCTCTCCCCTTAAGTCAAAATCAGCAGGAGCTAACTTATTTAGGTCACCCTCGATGCAGTTTGATGACAAAACCCAGAGGATTGAAATTTCTCTTCCTCTGCCTGCCTGCCTGCCTGCCTGCCTGCCTTTTCCAACGGTACTACCTGCCCACCACTTGCTACTCCTCCCCACACACTTTTTCTTAACAGTATCGCCAGATTGCTAATGTTACAACATTTAAATATTGTAAAGAAACATTACATAGTCTTAAAAGTGGCCTGTTAGACTATTTTTAGTCAGTCACCTGGGCCTATGCATTTTATTAATATTCAGCTGTGTTTTTTCTGGACTCACAGTCTTTGAAACTTCTTCCTTTTCAGGCAAGGCATCTTTACATTTGTGACTATCATAAGAACCTAATTCAGAGTGTTCGGAACAGAAGGAAGAGGAAAGGAAGTGATGATGATGGAGGAGACTCACCTGTTCAGGACATCGACACTCCAGAGGTAGAAGGCAGGGTTTTCTCTATGTTAAATCATAAGCATGCTGGCAATTCCAAAACCATTCTGTAAATATTTGAGCTCCTTTTTAACCATTTAAAGCATTGGAGAAATCTCAAAATTAGTCAGTGAAGATGTGTTTATACTAATATTAAATCTCAGATGACATTCTTACAGTTGCTGACGTACAACTTCCTCTTTTGTTTCTCCAAAAGTTTACAATGGATATCCCCCCAAAGGTGGATATTAACTGTTTAATTAATTACAGGTCTGATTGTGTATGTAAGTGAAGTCATTGTACTGAAGTGCCATACAGATCAATGCTATCTTTTCAGCAGAGTGAATTAATTCATATATTAATTTTTTTTCCCTAGGTTGATTTGTACCAATTACAAGTAAATACACTTAGAAGATACAAAAGACACTTCAAGCTTCCAACCAGACCAGGTCTAAATAAAGCGCAACTTGTGGAGGTATACATAAATAAGCTTTATACTGTTTAAACAATCCTGTTCACACCAACACGATATCATTAAGTGATGGTGAAATAGATAAATGTAGTATATTGAGTAGTATATTACATGCAGTAAAGTCAAAGTTAACAGGTCTATTGTAGAAGAATATAGTTGTTTGAAACCTCTGTCTACCACCTAGGAAATCTCTTCCAATGAGTACTTAGTAGATTATATTCAGAGTGTATACAGCATCTTTTGATAATGATTTTCAGAATAAATATTCGGTGAGAATTTTTTTATATCATTCGAGAATTCTGTTTTAAATTTCTAATTATTCAATGAATATTTATTGAGAGATGGGATATAAATATGGATTGGAATATAAGTGGAATATTTCCATTGAGGGATGGAAAATAAATAAGCTTACACGGATTTATTAGAATTTCGTTTTAGAAGTTTCTGTGGAATCAGCCTACAGATGAGCCCTGAAACAGAATTTTCGTTACTTTCTAATTTGATGTTCAAGATACATTTGCTTTTGTTAGCAATTGTTTTTAAGTAGAGGATACTTTCTTTACATTAAGAGAAAGAACAAAAATAAAGCTTCAATGTAAAGTTTGCTTTATATGGGACTTCAGTTCCTTTGCTGTGTCTTGGAAGCTAGTAGTGTGTATGTATGTGTGTATGTGTGTGTGTAAGAAGTAATAAAGCCACAAAATCTGTGAACTTTTAAAATATTTACAGATTTAAATGATTATACTTTATATCTAAAGCAAACATTTCCACTGAATAGACACATCAGAAATATGTAGGTATATGTGTATCAATACATATATATTTACGTAAGAGTTTTCTTATATTCTTCAGTTGGACATTAGTAGTTAGCCTACATTTCTGATGTGCATAAATAAAAGATAAATATGATCTGCCATTTTTGTAGAAAGCTCTAACGTTAAAATTCAGTATGCTAAACTAGCCAAATTTTCTCCTGTCTTTCTTGCCTAGGCAACCAAAATTTTTTTCTTTAAATTTATTTCAAAGCTCTCATCCTTTTTCTGTTGCACAGTACATGAATATGAAAACATTCCCTACTGTAATGAAGTATACTAGACATTAATCTAGTGTAGTTATCCCTGTTCTATAACAAATAGCCAAGATCTAATGCAAAATATGAACTCAGATCTCAAGCTCTTAAAATCTGGTCTTGAAAACCAGTTGTGTTAGTTCAGAGTTATTTTCTATTCTAGAAAAGCAGGCAGTCCTGAATCTGAATACGGATACCAGCCACTCAGCCTCTCATCTGGCGGTAGTTGTGGTGTACGTGTTAGATTTGTGTAGTAAAAGACAGGAAAACAGTCCTGTTGAACATCCCTCTAGGTCCTGGAATTTTCCATTCTTAACTTTCATTCAGAAAAATTTGCAAGAAACTTAAGAATTAATATCAGTTATACCGATATTTATGGTATAGTTTGTTACTAAGAGTTTTTTTTTCTTTATATTATTCTTTTCCTGTGAATACACTCTAAACCCTCATAGGATGGACATCAGTTCTGTTTTATTTCATTGGTAGTTAAGGTTTAAGAATATGTAGTTTGCAAACTGAAGTTGAAAAGTTTAAAGGGAAAATACTTTTAACAAGTTTACATTAATCAAGTCACGAAAAGCAGGGTAAAATCCTCAGAATCAGAGCATGTTAACTGAGCCTTTGAAATCAGACTGTCTTTGGTTTATAATATCTTGTTTTCACATGCTTTGGAGCTTGTTAATATTTTGTTAAGACAGCTTAATTTTTAAAAGTATCTGTGGTCACATAGCACTTTGGCAAAGTATCTTTTACCAAGCTCATAGCATCTGTTCTATCTAACCTTTTTTTTTCTTTTTTTGTAGATAGTTGGTTGCCACTTTAAGTCTATTCCAGTGAACGAAAAAGACACCTTAACATGTTTCATCTACTCAGTAAGGAACGACAAGAACAAGTCAGATCTCAAGGCCGACAGTGGTGTTCACTAGGAGAGATGCTGTTCACACTAGCACATAGATGTCTGCCTGTAAAGAATGTTTACTGTTTTTCAGATGTAGAAATGTTCTTGTGTATTTTTTCTACTGAGGATTTTTTTTTTTTTTGGCTTTCTGTTTTTGTTGTTGTCGTTTTTTGATTCTAATAATTAGTTGGAAACTCATCTAAACTGAGCTTCCTAGATTCAACATATTTTAAATAAAGGTTATTACTAGTACAGCTGCTTCAGCCTGTTTATTTTATGAAACTTTTTTTTTTGTTTTGTTTTAAGCTTTCTGGGACCGGTATTAAGATTTCAGGTAAAAGTTCTTATTTTGTAAGCTTTTCTTACAAATTCCAAGTAATTAAAGGTAAAGGAGGAATGACAGACCCACGTGCCTCCCCTAGGCCAATTTGATTAGCAACAAAGCCTTCTTATTTTGGTTTTGTTTTGTTTTGATTGTTTCTCTGTGTAACCCTGGATGCCCTGGAACTCACTCTGTACACCAGATTGGCCTCACATTCAGAGAGCTGCCTGTCTCTGCCTCCTGAATGCTGGGATTAGAGGCATGCACAGCTAACCACCTGGCTACCACCATTTTTTTTTTTCAGGTTTTTTGAGACAGGGTCTTTTTTTTTTTTTTAAGTGCTTTACAATGTATGTTAGCAAATTTGAAAATTAGACTTCCATTGATTTTCAACCACTTTTAAATTTCCCTTTATGCATTGATATTCTTCCTTGAAGACCTATGCAGAAAAAAAAAAGAGTTGTTTTTGTGCCTCCCTCTTTCCAAAGACACCCCAACATCCCAGCAAAGTTAAGCGCAGTGCTTGCTGAAAGTGGGCCTAAGGACTGGAGTTAATTACTTCTTCAGACTGATGTGACATGAACATAGAAACAAAACTTACATTCTGTGCTGTTTGCTTTGCACATCCAGACTGCTGTTAATAAAACTGCTGTGTTGTGATTGTTCATAATCCCAGCTCTCTGGAAGCTGAGGCAGGAGGAACCCAAGTTAGAGGCCAACCGTGCTACATAGCAAACCCTGTCTCCAAACCAAACCTTGTCTGAGGCTGGAGAAGTCTGGATGTGTAATGAGCTCTTTGTTTAAGGCTTGGTATTGCTTTATATTTTCTTATGCTTTGTTCCCTGTCGGTGCTTGATTTGTAGTGTCTTTTTCTCTTGGAATTGTATCGCTCGGCTAAGTGCTTAGTGTCACACATCAGGGTTTTAGCTTGTCACATCAAAACTGAAAACGGCTCCAGGAAAGTGTCCTAAGAACGCTTACAAACTTCAGGCTGGAAATGGATAAGACTAATGTCGCTCAGACTTCTTCAAGGTGAAGGTTTGAACCTGTGACATCTTGGCTATAGTCCTGTGTTGTAGGAAGGTGAGCAGCAGCACTCATGATGACATTGACCTTTAAGTGCCAGGCTCTGAGATGTAAGCCAGGCAGTGGTGGCGCACGCCTTTAATCCCAGCACTTGGGAGGCAGAGGCAGGCGGATTTTTGAGTTTGAGGCCAGCCTGATCTACAGAGTGAGTTCCAGGACAGCCAGAGATACACAGAGAATTACCTCTAGACACTGCCAAAGGTCTCCAGCTGAGAAAAAAATGTACCGGAAGCTGAGAAACACAGCTACAGTATGCTTCTACAGTACTGATTCATTAAGGAGGTGAGTCTACTTTGGTTCTGGTTATATTCTTGACCAGAAAATGAAGCAGCTGGTGTTTGGTTCCTTAGAACCATTTATAATGTTGTTAGAACACTGGTGAGCAGAAACCATGATTCTAGGCATCGTGGAAAGCTTATTGCAGTGCCCCAGAGACTTCTGGGACAAGATGGGTGTGGGGTTTTTTTGTTTGTTTGTTTGGTTGGTTGGTTTGGTTTTCTTAGCTGTGTCAAAATGACACATACCCACTTCATACCCAAGTAGCATGGCTTTAATTAGGAAAAAAAGTACAGGTCAGGTGTGGTGGCACACACCTTTAATCTCAGCCCTCTGAAGGCAGAGCCAGCCTGGACTACATAGTGAATTCTAGGAGAGCCAGAGTTCTATAGGAGAGGGACCCTGTCTCCTTTGTCTGCTCTTTGGATCCTTTTCCTCCTAATGGGTAGTCTCACTGCATTCCCCAATCCTGATAAGGGTTTGTGCCTAGTTATTGCATCTTATTATGCTGCTTTTGGTTGATATCCCTGGCAAGCCCAGGTATTTTACATTATTGTCATCAATGGCTTGAAAATTTGCCAGTTCCACCTTTTCCTTCCTTCCTTCCTTCCTTCCTTCCTTCCTTCCTTCCTTCCTTCCTTCCTTCCTTCCCTTCTTCCCTTCTTCCCTTCCTCCCTCCCTCCCTCTTCCTTCCTTTCTTTTGTTCTTTCTTTCTCTTTTCTTTCTTATTCTTCTCTCATACAACACTACAGTTTCCCCTCCCTTCACTCCTCCCAGTCCCACTCCCCACCACTTCCCCTCTCCCCCAGATCCACTCCCCCTCCATTTCCTTCAGAGAAGAGCAGGCCTGCCAGGGATATCATCCAAACACAACATAATAAGATATAAGACTAGGCACAAACCCTTCTATCAGGACTGGATGAGGCAACCCATTAGGAGGAAAAGGAGACAGGGTCCCTCTCCTATAGAACTCTGGCTCTCCTAGAATTTGTTATGTAATCCAGGCTGCCTCTGCCTGCTGAGGGCTGAGATTAAAGGTGTGTGCCACCACACCTGGCCTGTACATTTTTTCTTAATTAAAGCCATGCTAGAGGTATGAAGTGCTATCTTATTGTAGCTTTGATTTATATAATTTTTAAGATTTACTTTTATTTATGTTCTTTTGTGTGCACCTCCCTATCTGTGAGCCCACATGTTTGTAGGTGACCTCAGGGGCCAGAAGAGGCATTGGGACCCCTGGAACAGGAGTTACAGCCATGCATGAGCCAGTATGTAGGTAGATTCTGGGAATTGAACCCAGGATCTCTGTAAGAGCAGCAAGTGCTCTTAATCACCAAGCCATAGTTCTAGCCCTTGATTTATATATACTTACCGATGATATTGAATATTTTATAGGCATATAGATAATTTAAATATATTCTTTGTATAAAAAGTTAAGATTTTTTTTTGTTTTTTTTTTTTAAAACTCAGCTGTTCCTCTTTTTCATTTAGTTGCAGGAATTCTCTAGTCTGGGTATTTAACTTTTATTAGAGATTTCCAAAGGTTCACTCTTCCACATTTTTTGCAGTGTTCTTCAGTGCACTAAAGTTTTACATTTTCACCTTGGGTAGTATATCTTTCCTTTTGTGGATCTACTTTTGGCCTGAAGTCTAGAATCCATTGCTAATCCAACCCGGTAAAAATTAATACTCTCTTTATGGCTAACCAGTGTCAAAGCATCATTTTGAGAAGATACCATTTCCTCACTGAGTGGTCTTAGTTCCCTTGTGGAAAATAACTTAGTCAAGAATATTGGGGTTTATGTCTGGACTTTCGAGTCTTTCCCATTGATTTATCAGCATTGTTATAAGTCTTAACATCAAGTCATATTATTTGTTCTTATTCTCATCATTCTTGGTCTCTTGAAATTGCATATGAATTTAAAGAGATGTCTTTTCCCAGCAGGATGGCATTGGATATGCATACTGTTCTGAGATTTCCATCTGAATTGTATTAAGCACTCTAACCCATGCATTCAGAGTCTTTTCATGTACCTAGGTTTTCTTGAATTTATTTGTGTAGAATTGTATTGTTTCCATTGTCCTTATTAATGTCCTTGGTTAAGCTTGTTGCTAGATGTTTCATTCTTGTGATGCTATTATAAATTAAAGTGGTTTTCTTAATTTTGTGTCTTGTCCATTAATGGTATAGTAACAATGATTTTGTGTGTTATTACTACAACTGTGTACTGAGTTTGTTAGCTTTAGGTGTATATGTGTGTGTGTGTATGGGCAGCTGTGAATGGGAAGTCCAAAAATCTAGTAGTTGCTCAGTCCCACTGGACTAGTTGTTTAAGCTGGTCTTCTGTAGAAGTAGGTTCCAACAGATCTGCTGGCAAGTAAGTGCAAGCAGTCAAAGAAGAGTGAATCTTCCTTCTTCCAATGTCCTTATGGGTAGCCCAAATTAAAGGTATGTGCCACTACATCTGGATCTAAAACTTGCTTTGTCCCAGGCTGGCCTTGAGCTCAGAGATCTGCTTGCCTTAGTCTGGAATTAAAGATGTGTACTACCTTGCTTGGGCCTAAGATTTTCATGGCCACTATGCCTGAGATCTCCATGTTAAGAGCCAGGTCAGAAACCTGTCTTCCAGCCTCAAGATCTAGATCACAGGTGAGCCTTCCATTTCTGGACTGTAGTTCATTTCAGACATAGTCAAGTCAACAACCAAGAACAGCCATCACCTTGCCCTTCCTCCTGAAATGGTTGTCTATGTTGCTTTTAACACTCCCGTCATTTTTAGGATCACTTCTCTTTCTAACAAAGCACACCCTGAAGGAGCCCTTGGCACTGCAAGGAAAAGAATTCTTTCAGGAAGAGATGAGCTATTCAAGTATCACAGTCACCGTTGAATTCTGCAACATGGGGCCAAGAGCAAAAAGGACGCAGAAAGTCAAAGACAAAGATCCAGAAAATGCTGGATGCACGTGAGCCTTCTGAAATGTAGACTCCCTTGTCCTGTCATGAAGAAACTTGCCTTTCTGAGAAGGAAATAGATTAAACTGGCTTACTCAAATGGTGTTTTCACATCAGGTTTTGATTGCAGCAAGGAAATGCTTACTTAAAGGACTTGGTGCTTCGCGTCGGCTTTCTCTCTCCTCGTGTGTCGCTACATAGACCATGGATTATGAACTTATCTGTCAGACAAAATGCAAACTGAAACAGATTACTGATGCTTTTTCCTTATTTAGCACTCTGATCAATGGTCCAAGAAAAAGGTAAGACTTCCTTTGTTGAGTCTACTTTAAAATAAAGAATTTAAAATAAATCGATTTTATATGTATTGGTGTTTTGCCTGCATGTGCCGGTGTGAGGTTGTTGAGTTACAGACAGTTGTGAGCTGCCACATGGGTGCCGGGAGGAGCAGTCAATGCTCTTAACCACTGAGCCATCTCTTAAGCCCTGATGAGTCTACTTTTATTACCAGTTCATTCAGCAAAGAAAGCCCAATTAAAACACATGCTTTTTAGATAACCAATTTATTCATTTTCTTTACAATTGAATTTCTCCATCTTTTTAATGATGCCATGGTATTTATAAACATGTTCTGACAGGTATTATGCAATGACTCTTAAGAGGATCAGAATTATGATTACTCAAAAATTGTTTGGCTCAGTCCAGTAGTAACACTCCTTTCTGATTGGGTCTTCAGAAACAGGACCTTTGAAGTTGTATGTCAATGAATAGTGTTACCATTTTTGTCTCAAGATAGTATCTCCTAGGCTGCCTTTAAGATACAGTGTGTCTTTCTTATGAGACTCTTAATACTGGGAGTGGGGGCTGTCTCTGACTCTTTTGCCTGCTTTAGGGGGACCTTTTTCTTCTACTGGGTTGACTTGTCCAGCCTTAATATGAGGGGAGATACCTAGTCGTATTATAACTTGGTTGATACCTCTGGGAAGCCTGCCTTTTTCTGAGGTGAAATAGAAGGGGTATGGGGAAGGGGGAGGCGGAAGGGAAGGACTGGGAGAAGAGGGGAAAGAAACTGTGGTCAGTGTGTAATATATGAAAGAATTAAAAAAAAAAAGAGAGATGGTATGTCTCAAACTTTCCCCCACAATCCTTTGGACAGTGTCCTCTATTTCTCTGTGGCAGGCTTCATGTTATAAATAGCATCATTATGATGACAGCATTGTTAGAACACATGTTCTGAGAAGACATGTCTATCTTATTCATTACTAATACCCCAAGAATCTTAATAATAGTTAGCACCTAGTCAGCATGGAATATGTTTTTATATAATGGAGGTTTCTATGAGTCAACAATTATAATTTAAGATACAAGCTTATAACCCAAAGTTGCTTCCTCACAATTAGAAAATGTCGTCTTCTTTTTCTTTCTTTGATAAGATCTCATGTAGCCCAAACTGAGTTAAAACTTACTGTGTAGCTGGTGATGTCCTTAAACTTCTGATCATTCTCCCTGTCCCTACTCAGATTGAAGGCATGTGCCACTATATCCAGTTTATGTCGTGCTGGGGTTTGAACCCAGGGCTCTGCATGCTAGTCAGGCATCATCTATCAACTGAGTTACATCCCCAGCCCTATCTGTGTCTCTTAAGGTGCACTTTTTTATTCTTAAAGAAAATAGATTCTTTAGGCATATGTATTGTGGTCTTAGGGATACAACTTTGTGTTTGAATGGTGTTCAAATCCTGTTCTGACTTGTATAACTTAAACTTGAGTTGGAGAAATGGGGCGAAGAATATTACCTTTAAGTTTTTTTTTTTCAAAACAGGAAAGTTAAAATGTGCTTAAAGATGTATCACATGTAATGATACCTAAGGATGGGTTCGTTTTTAAAAAATAGAAATCTGGTTTTCTGTTCAATTTGACTGGTCAAAACTGACAACCAACAACTGAAGTTTTCTGTCTGTGAATCAGGATTGTGGTTCTCCATTAGGGGACAGTACTCTTACTGAATGTAGTGAATTCCTGAATAAAACTCCAGCCAAACAGTTTAAGAAGTACTAACAGTGTCCACAGGGACAAGCCAAGTGGAAACAACTTTTATTACCACATTAGCCCAAGTTTACTCTAGCAAGTAAGACTTTATAGAATCTATGCTGGATTGGATACACTGGACAGAAATCAGAAAGGTTGCTATACTGATACAGTTTGTGGGAAATTAGGGACTGTGAAGGACTTCAGGACCGTGTTCTCCAGAATGGATACAGATCCTTAGTGATTGTTGCAGGGGATCACAAAGGAGATCTTTGGTCCAAAGAAGACATCTCTGAAAGAAAAAGCAGCAGTTAAACTCAGCAGAAAACTAAGGTATATGTTATTCTTTTGTGGGTTAAAAATGGATAGTGCTCCAAGTTTCAGATTAGACAATTCATTGTAGGCAAATAAAATACAGAAAAATGAGTAGAAAGACTCCCCACAGGAGGCACAAGGATCAGAAAACGTAACTGAGCTTTCTTTCACCAACTTACTATTGATGTTATACTGTTATTTGTCTGTAACTAAAAGGAAAAATTAGGTCATTTCAAAACCTATACGAAACAGTTCAGTTCTTTGATGTGGAAATGGATTATTTAAGTTTAAATTTGGGGGTAAGAGTCAGATCACTAGACATTTCTTAGAAAACCATTAAGCAACTTTCTAGAATTTGTACATATAAACATGTTTTAAAAGCCAGCCTTATCTTTTGGGGTAGGAAAGATAGCATAAGGTAATATGAAAAATACATGGAATAGTATAAATTTTTATGTGATTCTGACTTACTAGAAATACAGCTTGCAAAGTGATTCTGTTCCTACTGGAAAAAAAAACCCTCAAAGTTAAGGAGAATTTTTTTTATGTTTACCCTTCTGTTTAAATAGTTAACAGTAATAATCACAAAGTTACATCAGAAAATAAATATAAGCTCACAGAATGGCAGCAAGTTGGTTTAACAATCCAATAATGAAAGAAAGCCATAATTGGTTGTCATTTAATTACTATAGTATAGAAAACTGATTCATGAGGTAAATTCACATGTGCCCTCACATCATCTAGTACAGCTCTGCTGAAGCATCCTCATGTTTGAGCATCACCTGCAAGGCTTGTTGAACTCTGATGGGAAGGCCAGCCCTGCACAGCTCCTGACTCAGCCTGTATTGTGGTCTAGGGTCAAGTGTGCATTGAACAGGCAGTGCTCTGGAAACCTCACTTGGGGCACCATTTGGGTCTGAGCCTGGTTTTTGTCTCCATTTTAGCATCAGCTGGTTCTGTGAGGTATCACTGGTCACATCAGTCTCTCTTTCCTTGGGAGGAGGTTTATTTATATCTGTCTTTTCTACCTTGCAGGCTTCTTAGAAGAATGGAAATAGGATGTCAGATGTTGAAAGCAATTTGAACCAGTATTAAATATCCAAAATCATAGTGTTTGAAACAGTCCTTAATCAAAGGAAAATATTCTTAAAATCAAGCTACAAGTATCTATTAACTCCCAATGTTTTATATGTAACATATACCAATTTTCCAAAATGTAAATTGCTTTGAACAAAACTGTTTCATTTCTAATTATACGTAGAACTAGAAAATCCTCCCAAAGCCCTTACTAATATTTTCTGTCCCAATGACTTACTTGATGCTGTTTACTAACCTGTTTAATCTAAAAAAAAAAAAAAAAAAAAGGTTTATTGCTTTTCAAATTAGCTACAATGTCAACTTGGAAGTTCACTTGTATTACCAATCAATTTTTTTTTGTTATTGTTGTTAGTAGGAATTGAACATAAAATTTAGCAGGTTGATGCACTGTTGCAGCTTTTTATTTAGGCTTTGTTTTTCTGGAATTTGAGTCTCAGTGTATAGCCCAGGCCAGCCTTCAACTCAGATTGTCTAGCCTATGCAACTCTACCACAACCCTGCAACAAGAACGTTATAAAACTAGGACCTGTTTGAAAACAAATGGTACTTGAGTTTATTTAAAAGCATGATTAATTTCAGCAAACCCAATTCTGAAGCTGTTCTAAGCCAGGTCTGGTGCCTCATGCTGTGAACTCAGCACTTGGGAGGATTGCCCTGAGTATTCACAGTCTCAAGGTCAGTCTGGTCTACACAACAAGTTCCAGCCAGCTTAAGCTATAGTTGAGATCTTGTCTCAACAAACTCCAAAACCAAAACCCAAAAATCCAAAACACAAAAAGCAAAACCAACCAACAAAACAAACAAAAAACTGCAACAAAACAAGCAAAACCAAAACAAAAAAATAAAAAAACAAAAGACAAAAACCAACCAACAAAACAAACAACAACAAAACAAGCAAAAACAAAACCAAACAAAACCAAACCAAAAAACCCCATAGTTACTGAACCATGAGTCTATTGAGTGGGTGATATTTATTAACACCTATAAAAGACTTATTATCATCACTGGTACATAATAAAGCATTGAATGTTATATCTATGCAACATTAAAAAACCAATCGTGTGTTTCTGGGCTATAATTATAATCATATGAAATAATTGAAGCAACCTTAGAAAATATGAATAATGTTAAAACATTTTAAAGTTGGATGTATTGTACTACATGCTTTTGTGTAGATTTTCAAAGTCCATATTTTAAATTTCTGTGTAGAGACAATCACAGAGAAGTTTATCTTCATACCAGCGCTGCAAGATGAAGATGCCTATGTATAAATTAATCATTTGGAGACACGGAAGACAGTAAAAAGATGATCTTTTAAGGGTTTTCTCTACAAATATAGCAATACATTTTGAAATGTCATTTCCTTACTTTGGGCAGCAGAGCAGCTCGCTGAAATTGCAGTAGCAGATCATCTCGCATCCCTTCCCATCCCAGAAATGATGCTGGATACTTGCATCAGTCAGCTTCAGGTCGGCTCTGCCCTCCGGAAGGTTGTGGCAGTTACGATCTTTTAGCAACTTTCTGTAGCAGGAGAGGCGACTTGAAGGCATGGCTTGTGCTCCTAACAGCAGAGTTAGCCCGAGGGTGACAAGTACCACAGATTTCATCATGGCTTTTGCTCCTGATATAGAATAACAAACAAAATAGTTCAGCATGTGATTTTTAAAAGGTGGGATGCATCTGAACATAAACTTTTGCGTGTGCCGTAAACTTGGAATGCAAAGCGAGTCAGTCTTTCTCATGTTCTTTTTGTTTCTCACACTGTACCTTTCGGACCGTTTACATTGTTCTTTTAAAGCAAAAACACTTGACATGCTTGTCTAAAAAATTCGAATGTCTGGACACCTCTCAAACACATAGTGAGGGCCACGGAGGTGGCTCAGTTGGTAAAGACACGAGCCACGTTAGTCTGAGAACCTGAGGTCAAATCCCTGGAAGACATGTAAAAAGGTGCAGCTGTTGGCATGCTTCTGTAATTCCAGCAGCACTGCTTGGATGAGCTGGTGGAGGAAACAGACAAATGGCTCAAAAGCTCACAGGCCAGCGATCCTGGAGTACACAGCAGCAAAAAAGAGATGTCAATAAGGTGGATGGTGAGAGAAGTACCCTCTCACAGATGACCTCTGACCCCTGACTTCTATATGGGCGCTATGGCATGCATGTGCCTGTCCTCACTCATGTGCACATGCTCATGCACATATGCACACAAATATTAAGTGGGAAGTGCTAAGGGAGAGGAAACTAAGGATGAGAATCTGCATTTAATACAGTACCCAAATTCACACATTTCTTCTGTGCACTCACTCAAGGACAACTTTTTCAGATAACATCAACTTGCAAAGCTTTGTAGAACAGCTAGCATCGCCAAACACAATAAAGTTGACCTTTCGTGTATTAGATAACTATAACATTGTCAAAGAACCTAGGAGATAATTCTTTAATAGTGGTTATAGAAAACTGAACTAGTCGTCATGTATCTAAACAATCTCCTCTAGCTTTTATATTAGCCATGGAGGATGTGGAGTCTATCATCGTAAAGGAAGAATAGCAGCACAGTGTAGAATCCAGAATCAGAATCCGTAGTTGTGCATATGCACTTTGCTAACATGCCGATATATCTTTCTGTCACAGGACAATAAATGGTACTTCTCTTTGTGCTTTTCTTTGCACTTTAAGAATATTTGTTTTCAATTAACATACAGAGTAACAGGTTTCAACATGGCATTCTCATACCTTGGACCCTCCTCCTCTCACCCCTCCCCCATGGACATTTCCCTCCCCCCACTCCTGTACCCTTACTTCTAGGTCCCCCTTTCTGCTTTCTTTCTTTCTTTTTTTTTGATTCTCTTTTATTTTATTTTTTATTGGATATTTTATTTATTTACAATTTAGATGTCATCCCCTTTCCCCATCCCTCCCCCAGAAATCCCCTATCCTATCCCCCCTCCTCCTTCTTACTTTTCTTTCTTTATTAGTATTTGAAGTTAACATACAAAGTACTGACTTTTATTACAGCATCCTCATACATGTGTCATTTGTCTTTCTGAGTCTTACACTTTGAAAGTTAACAATATTGCTGAGAGGAGATGAAAGTATTGACAGATGTCATGCAGGTAGAGCTGCAGTGGGCAGGTCAGTTTCTTGGAAATGGTCCACCGTCTTGTTCTGCAGGGATGGGGCGTTCTGGTAAGGCATGGTTCCAGAGACTTAGTCCCAGGATTGCTTCTTGCACTGATGTTCTTTTTCCTGTTTGTCATTACCATGCTCTTCATTTATGTGGCTTAGTGTGCGTGGATACCAGGAGACCCTCACTGCGATAACCTCCCATGATAATTTCCTGGGGATAGCCCACTTGTTGGGCAAGTTTCCTGCAGATGAACTTTCATGAATTAATACTATTCAGATGAATTAATGACTTTATAGAATTCCAGATTCAAATACTTTTAGGAAGAAAGTTTAAGGAGAAAAAAATAACATGTGGCTATGTGTGTGCTCCATCTACCAAATGTGGGTATATGTATATATGTCTGTCTGTCTGTCTGTGTAAATATATATATATACACATATATATATATATATATACACACACACTCATATATGTTTTTATGTATGTACATACATACATTTGTAGGCATATGTATATGTGTTTAGGTATGCATATGCACTTGTGCAATTGATGATATAGGTAGTCAGACCTGGTCAAGTATGTGTGTGTATATGTGTATGCATGGCTTTCTCTTTATCCTTTTTCTTTCTGTCTGGCTCATGAAGGCTAAGTTAGGGAGTAAAGAGCCCACATAAAAAGAGCCCACATAACTTTCTTTTCTTAATCCCCTGCTTCTATGGGCAGGAGTCAATTGCCAGATGCCAGCAGCTTTTGGCCTCAGGAGAGCAAAAGAGTTAATTTCCAGAGGCCATGGGGCTGGGTGCAGAACAGTAAGAAAGAATTAAAGGCCAGAGGTTATCAGTCCAAAGCTGTGTCCTACCTCAGTGCCTGACCCTGTCGGGGCTGGACCCCAGCAAAGTATGAGCTTCCCAATCACTAGACACAACTTATGAGTAACCCATCTTAGGTAAGATGTGAAATTTTGAGACAAGACTGATTTTTTTTTAAGTTTAGAGAATAAAAATATTCCATCATCTTCCTGAAAGTTTCAGGTTTTATTTTTTTTTTGAATTTGAGTTAGTCAGTCATCTTTGACTTGGATTGTGATTTTTAAAATTGTGCAAACCTAATTTTTATCTATAAACATTACTAAATGTAATTACCAAAATTAGAAAAATAAGATCTATTTATACTTTCTCTGATTTATTAGAGCAAGACAGTTCTACAGTGTATCACCATCTAGCATATAGATATTATGGTTATATGTATATTAGAACCTTCAAATGGACATTTTGCAGATCATAGATTAAAATTCTTACTTTTGGGTCTTGTTTGGTTTTGACACAGAGTTTCATGTACCCCACTCTGGCCACCAGCTACGCACAGCCTTGGACCCCTGAGCCTCCTGTCTCCACCATGCTGGCATGACATATTTGTACAACACAGCTGCAGTATTCATATGGCTGAACGTTAATGCTACAGGGGGCTGTCATCCTCATTTACTTCAGAGGAGCCCTTCCTTAATACCCATGAGGTATAGTTTCAAACTATAAACCCGAGTAACCCGTGGCAGGAAAAACCACAGCCAATCATTCTCTAGGGAAGTATTTATGTGGAAGAAAACAGGATCCACTCAATGGGTAAAGATTTTTTTTTATAGCTTTTCTGAAGTGAAATTGACACACAATAAACTACAGATACTTCAAACAAGCAATTTGTTAAGTATGTGTTTTTCCCATGACGTTATCACTGCAATCAAGACATTAATTATAGTCTCCTCTAAGTTTCCTCAACAGCCTTTATTTGTCTATCCCTCCTTGTGTTGCCTGTCTCATCCAGCAACCATTGATCTGCTGATATTCATATTCTATATTCATATTCTAGAATTTTATATAGAATAGGATATATATGAAATTATACCATCCTTTATGTGGGTTATGTCAGTACAATAGTCCTGAGATGTACATCTTTTATTGCTATGTATTTCATTGTATTACTATAATTGTCTATCCTTTTACCTGTTAATAAACACCTGGGTCATTTTTAATTAGGGACAGTTATAATAAAAGTACTGAGAACACCTCTGTGCAAGTCTTTGCAAGATCAGAGCATTTATTACTCTTGGGCAAATACATGCACGTGGAATATCTAGCTGGGTTAGACGGAGGAAGTTAGAGGTCAGGTTCAGTGTCCACTTATCAGGAACCATCCAGCTTGGTTCTATTTTTTAAGTTTATTTTATGTTCTGTATGTATGTCTTGCCGGTATTCCATGTGCGTGCCTGTTGGATGCAATGGAGCTGTGTTTATGGATGATTACGAGCCACCGTATGGATGCTGGGAATTGAACCTAGCTCATCAGCAAGAACACTACATGCGCTTAACTGCTGAGCCAGCTCTCCAGCCCCCACCTTGGTTCTTAAGACAGGATCTCTCATTGGATCCTGGTCTTGCCAATGGGTTAGGCTGGCTGCCCAGGGAACTCCAACAGGCCTCGAGTCTCCACAGCCCCAGTGATAAGCTTGCAGGCATGCACCGCCAAGCGTGACTTCTTGCCCACGTGGGTTCTAGGGTTCAAACTTAGGTCATCATGTTTACACTGAAAGCGCTTTACCGGCAGAGCTACTGCTCTGGCTTAGTGTATTTTAACTTTTAAAGAAGCTATCAAACTGTTTTTACAAAGTGGTTATGTGGTTTTAAATTGCCACTAGCAGTGTGGTTTGTACACAGGCTCCAACTTCTGGTTTGGTCACTTTTTACATCGCAGATATTTTAATGCACATATATTGATATCTCATTAATGCATATATAATAATATCTCATTAGTATACACTGCCATTTCTTACTCATTGTTGATGTTAAGTCTTTTCTCACGTGAAAACATTTTTTTCTGATGTATTTCCTTAAGTGAAGAATATGTTCAAGGGCTGGTGAGATGCCTCAGCAGATAAGTGTGTGTCACCAAGCCTGAGAATCTGAGTTCAGTTCTGGGAATCTACCTAATGGAAGAAGAGAACTGACTCTTACAACTTGTGCTCTGACAGCCCCACCTCAAAATAATTAAATAAACGTAATTATAAAAATCTCATTTCAACTCTGTTGCTCATCTAAAAAAGAATTGGATTGTGGCTGGGCATGGCTGTGAATGCCTGTAATCCCAGTAGTAAGAAGCTAAGGCAGATGGACCGATACATTAAGGCTAGCCTGTGTGTGGTACATAACAAATTCTAGGCCAAGCAAGCCAGACAGACAGACAACAACAACAACAACAACAACAACAACAACAAACTAGTGAAATCCTGCCTTTAAAAAAAGTATGCTAATTGCTGGGCAGTAGTGGTGCAGGCCTTTAATCTCTGTAGTTCAAGGTCAGCCTGGTCTAACAGAGTGAGTTCCAGGATAGCCAGGGCTGCACAGAGAAACCCTGTCTCAAAGACAAAAGAAAAGAAAACAAAAGAAAAGAAAACAAAACATAGAAGTATGGTAAAAAAACATTTTACATAATGTTACATTGTT